TGGGCCCAGCGTGTGCTGGCTTCTTCGGGCCCTCCTCTCCAGGAGACACCGCATAGCTTCTCCGCGTGACGCTGGCAGGAGAGCGTGGGGACCGCCTCCATCTGCTCCGCGGGTCCTCTCACCCACCGGGCGGAGGAGAGGGGTTAGCCGCTCCGGGTCTCGTCCTCATGTCCTTGTAAAACTCTGTAACGAGAAAGACATCCGCTCGTTAAAGAAAAAGGTGAAATACAGAGAAAGGCGAGAAGAGCAATACATGTTCGCAACGTTCGGTGTTTATTTTGATGAAAACCTACCAACGTGTTCCTTGAATAATTATATTCTGAAAGGGTCTTGCATGGTGATACTTTATGTTGAACAGAATGTTCATGTTCTTCTAAATGATTCCCGAGACTTGTTGAAGTTACTGTGTGGCATTTCCGTGTGGATGGGCCGTGACTCCCTGAAGCCCTGTCGTTGGGGCTTTCTTGTCCTCGTTTATTTCGTGCTGTGACTGCTTCTGCAGACGTTTTCGATCCTGCGACTCTTCCCTGCTCTGCATTGCTGATTATTTCATTGTGACAGAAGTGACTTTTATTGGGTTATGGGAAAAAAGACTTTTTATTATATTTTGTTACACTTTTCATGACATGCCAGGTTAATTTTGGATTTTAACGATCCTGAGAGCAAAGGGCCATTCATACCGAAGACTAGAAGGCAGTGGATAGTGGGTTGCAGAGAATTTGGGAAAAGATGAATATGATTTGGTTGTCGGAGGTCACAGGGAAGCAGGGCTCAGGTGGAATTCAGACGATCGAGTGGGAAATCGTCGCGGCGAGGAGCCAGGAGACGCGGTGCCGTTTGAAGGAGCCTCGTGGGCTGAGGTTGTGTGAAAAGCGACGTGTATGCAGAGTGGGGTCTCCCTCAGCACCAGGAGCACAGAGCCCTGTGCACGAGGCTGCCAAAATTGCCACAGACCAACGTGATGACGCTCAGTCCCCTCCCCCCCCCAGGGGAAGAGGAAAGACACCCCCGGGGCGAGTGGGTGGGAGCAGGCAGGGGCTCCGGCAGCAAGCGGGCGGGTGAGCTCCCTCCATTTCCTGGTCCTCCTAGGGGAGGGGAGGGCCGGGCTCCACAGAGCAGCCACAGCTGATCTCGCCACCGGATGGAGAGGAGGTGGGTTCACGGTCGACACAACCACTGAGCCGCACGGCCAGGCTGGTCTCCGTGCTGCGGGGCCCCTTGGCAGGTCTGCTGCTGGGGAATCTTAGGGCCGATGGGCCCCTTTTTGCCGCTTTATTGTTGAAGCTCTGGGGGACACGCGGGGAGAGGGGAAACGAGCACACGTGTTGGAGACAGTGCTCCCGTGAAGTAGGCGTGGCAGTCACGTGTCTGCGGCTCCGCCCGGCGAGCTGACGTGTCTGGTCCGCAGGTGGCCGACCTGAGCATGGGGGACCTGCTGCTGCACACGACGGTGACCTGGCCCAACCCGCCCGCCTCGCTGGGCAAGTGGAAGAAGGAGCCCGAGCTGGCCGCCTTCGGTGAGTGTGTGTGACTGTGATTGTGTGTGTGTGACTGTGTGTGTGTGACTGTGTGGTGTGTGTGTGTGTGCTGTGTGGTGTGTGTGGTGTGTGTGTGAGTGCGTGTGTGTGTGACTGTGTTGTGTGTGTGTGTGTGAGTGTGTGTGACTGTGTGAGTGTGTATGGTGTGTGTGTGGTGGAGTGTGGTGTGTGT